GCTGACATGATGGTATGTCTGCAGTCTGTGGAGAGTGGTTTTGGCATTGTTTAGATGTTAGAATGAGAATGTTGCTTGTTACTGTTGCTCATTTATTAAATATGTCAGTATTATAATTGTTATTGCACTTCTTCGCACTGAAATGTCTAATTTAGGCTGTTCACCCACTTTTTGGTTTTACATTTTGTAGTTCAACAGAATTCTACTTGGGCACTGCATGACCCTTGGCTGGCCTTGTGCAGTAAAGGTTTTATATGAGGACTTGATGTTCACTGTGATTATGGTCAATAAAAATCTTATCCAATAACTCCATTTTATTTATTTTGATTAAATGACATCTGCTGGTAAAATAAAAATGGTATAATTGTTAGAAAATAAACTAAAAAGCAGCAAAAATTCATGCAACAAGATATCTAATTTTCAGCAAGCAAATTTTCTACATATTGAACTGTACTCAAAAAAATGTCCATGCCATTGGACTCAGAGGGTTGTAGAGGATTAATATGTTCTCTCAGCTGCTCCACTTGTTCAGGAGTTAGAGGGCTGTCAAACTGTGGAACATTCACCACAGCTTGTGGATCCACAACATACCCACTGTCCTCCCAGTTGATGTAAGGAATGGTCATCTCCTGAAATTAAACAAACAGGGAAAGATTCACTGTGTTATTCCAAACAATTATATTAATAATAGTTGATTTAATTATTACAATCATTGTGGTTTGTAACATTTGGATTAAAAAAAAAAAATTTTCTGTGCAACTGCTTCAGTACCTCTGGGTTGGCAATGGGATGTTCCATCTGACCAGCCCCCCACAGTTGGTTTGGTGAGAGGTTTTGCTCTGTTCTCAATGGGTGGTTGTCCCATCCCTCACGGAACAAACTGAGATTGGCTTGCAGTCGGGGCAAAAATACGTAATGGCAGCACAACAGGTGAAGACTGCTGCTCAAATCTAGCATGTCCTGTTCCTCTAGTGTGTGCAAGATTTGGTAAAACACACTGGTGACTCCCATCCAGAGATCACGCCACAGCCTCTCAACTCTTAATTAAAAAAAACAAATTACAAACAACAAATTACATTATTACATTACAAGTCTTTCAAGTAGTAATTCAAGGTCTATTAGACATTTAAATTATCTTAGATGAATCTATCTTGCCTCTGATTGTGCACACTTTTGCCTGCTATAAAGCAGTTGCTGTCTGGCCCACGTACAGAAAACATCAGACGAGCCACTCCAACATTCTCTCCTCCCTGATCAGCTCGCACTCTAAACAATAAAATATATTTATTTATTGCCAAACACCCTAGTTGTTTGGAATTTAAAATATAAAATGAAGAGTTTTTTTTTTTTTATCTCATTAAAAGAATATTAATAAAATGTAATTAATATTATGTCAAACTTAATGTATTAAACTTACAATGTTTTTGACTTACTAGTGTATGGGAAATAAATTAAAATATATATATATATTATTTGATTGTAAAAGAAAAAATTAGTTTTACTTCAGTGGGTATCCAAATTCCTCAACAGCCTGACTGAAGAAAAGTAGGGTTGTGTCAGATCGGTTGTTGTCTGCAGCTCTCAGGTACATTATCTATACAAATGACAGAAGCACTTTAAGCACCTATATCCAGTATGTACTGTACTTTTAGATCGAAAGTGTGGTTGAAATAGCTTTGGCTGTGTATGCTTTCTCACCTTGCGTGAAAAACCATCAATTCCTGCAAAGATCACTATATTGTACCTGTAGAAAAACATAATGCTTTTGAATTGTAAACTCTTGTATAATGTTATAAATATCATTAAAACAGACATTCAAGTCTATTGAGCATATTCCATTTACTGTTATGAGAATACTCAGGTTACCTGATAAGCTTATGATTTGTGTCTATATGTACTAAGTACTTTGGGCATGGCACTGAGTATGTTCGTCTGATGACACATCCCAACTGAGTCATTCTTGTGAGAATCCCAAGACTATCCACTCGGTGCATTGCTGCTTTTACTCTGTTCCACTGCAGTCGATGACCTTGCGCCTTCAGTGTTCCTTTAATCAATCTGTAGCCTGCATGTGGCATTCTTTCTTTGATTTGGGAAACAAGTCCATCAAGTTCTGCATCAGTGCAGGTACTATACAGTCCCCTAACTGATAGATTGTTTTCAGCCATTCTCCTAAAGAGTGTAGCCCGGGAAACACCCAGCAAATGTGAAATAGTTATTACAGGGAGTCCAATCTCCAGAAGATAGGCAATGTGATCTGTAGGCACTACAATCCTTGGACGCCCACTTGCACTTTGTCCTTCCACCTGAACAACTGAATGTGAAATTTGTGAGCGTCTGTGATTCTGGATTGCATTATGTAGTTCAGTTAATCTTTCGGTCACATCCTGAGACACATGCACATGCTGTGCCACAGCATCAATAAATACTACTTCCTGCCTACATACAAATTCCAAATAGTCTATGTCAAGCTGGGGTTGCTGAAGAGCATGTGTAACCCGTGTAAGTAATCTCTCCAGAATGTGGTCATGTAGTAATTCCTAAAATGAAATGGAATAAAGAGAAATTTATAAAAAAATTACATTTGTACTTACCGTAAATTAGACCATGTTTACATAAATGTAATACAATGTTACACGAAGAAGTAAACATTAACTTCATTACGAGTATGAGTCAAGTAAGCTTAAAGATTTATCATCCAGTTATGTAGTTATGATATTTGTTTTACTTACCCAACCAGCTTGTTGGTTTAAAATGGCATTATCCATTTTCCTAGATGTTTTACAGGTTCTTCGGGAGAATGCGAACAATGAATGTCTTGTATCGCCTCAAACCAGGCAAGTAGGCAGGCATATGCCAGCTCTGTACTGCGACTGCCACCTAGTGGTAGCTGCCTGCTTTGCCTTTCAGTGAAAGCCAGTTGCGTGTGGATCGTCGATGTTAAAAGCCGCGGAAAAGTAAGTCTCATAATCCAAATGAACCGAACAGGATCGACTCGAACAAGAAATCAATAAATGCACGCGTGCCACCTGATCCACACATGCACGGATTCCTTTTTGCACGCGGAAATTATGACATTTTAATATAAAGTAGAACATTTATACTCACAAAATGACTTTAAACGCTGCACATTAATGTAATTCTTAATTCTGCCGACACTAGTTGAAAAGCATTTGTTTCGGTGTAGTAACGCACATTTGCAAATTTTTCAAATCGTGTATACGTTAATGAATTGCACTGAGCCTTGTTTGTAGGTATTTGTGTGTGTGTGTATCTGAAATGCTGTAAACTGCGAAAATGAAGTCTCAAAATCCAAATGAACCGAACAAGATCGACTCGAACAAGAAGTCGATAAATGAACGCGTGTCACCTGATTCACAAATGCATGGGTTCCTTTTTGCACGAGCAATTTATAATATATTAATGCAGAACAGACCATTTTTATTCACAAACATGTCTTTATTTGTACAAATCGCTGCACAATCATTTAATCCCGAATTCCACAGACTCAAATTGAAAGGCTTGTCTTGAGAACATTTTCTGAAAAGTTGTTTTTACAGTGACCTAATGATTGACAAAAACATTTTTTCTATAGTGTAATACTGTGCCACTAGGGGGCAGCCTCAAGGTATCAGAAATTGTGCATCGTCTCTAGTCTTTTGTTGGGTTGCTTGTTCTTAATGCATTTCCTCAGTCTTGTCATCCCCACACTTCTTACAACACCCACTTACTTACATGTCCATTCAAAGACACATTCAGCTCATGTGAGGGCCAAATGGCTGTTGTAAATTTTTTAAATATAATATCACTTCCATATTATTGCCCACTGAAAATAATGCATCTTTCTCATTGCTCTGTGTGCCCACACAATTTTGGGTAGTTATTTGTCACAAAGCTTCAGCCTACGTGGTGCAGGTCTGATTCATGAAGAAAGGTTGCGTAACCGTTAAATCAGCATGTTATGAATGATTGTTGTTCATTATGCTGCAGGGGAACCAAATCAGGTTCCTAAAATAGCAAGCTCTTCTGTAATTCCAAAAAAAAGTTTCATATTCCTGATGCATGCTGAAATATTGCAGTAGATGCTGAGGAAGCTTTCTGCGATTGTGCCGTAATAATGTCGCATTAACACAGAGTTAGCAGGCTAGCCGGTTTGGGACTTGAAGTATTTTCTGGCCCATTTAAGACTGGTGATGGAGTTCAGCGGGCCTGCTCTGTTAGTCTAGCTGTCCGTGAGGGAGCGTCAAGGCCGGAGTGGCCCCTGCCAGAGATTAAAGAGCATTATTGATTAGGGCTGCATGATAAATCGAAATGGAATCGAGATCGAGATCGCGATTCGACAGAAGCTGTGATTGTCATGCGTATCTTTCAGTGAAGCATGGTTCTGTGATCAGCAGTAAATCTCCATCCATAGGCCAGAGGCAGAGAAACAAGAGAAACACAAAATACGCCTCGCAGAAGAAACCCAGAAAATCCCTATCGCTGCAGCTGAAGATTCAACTGATTCAACTTGATTATGACAATATATGGTTTATCTGAGTTATTACTATTGTAATTTTCATTAAAATAAAGTATGTTTATAATGCAATGCCTTTATCACTGCTTAGAATACTATGAAATATTTTGCGTGCCTTATTCTGTGTAAGAAGCCACGTCATCTCAGAGAAGGATTTATTTCAAACACTCGACTGACGTTATGAAGTGAGTTTGGAGTAAAAATATGTTATTAAATGTGGTATTTTCACATGCTTTCAGATGGAGCAGCATTTACTTCACAGAGCCGTAGTTCACTGAGAAGCTATGCAAACAGCTGTCATTATCGCGAACGATTTCTTCGATTTCAGAATCACGCAATAAAATCGTCTGCGATTTTTTTTGCGTAACTTGTCAGTGAACTACGGCTCTGTGTAGTAAATGCTGCTCCATCTGAAAGCACGTGATGATGATTTCCTTCTGATTACAGAACCGGCTTTACTAACAAAATGTGCATGACAATCGCTTTCGATTAATCGTGCAGCCCTACTATGAAGCTTCACTTTGTGAAGAAACAATATATGCCTATAGACTGAACTATAAGTATTACTTAAGTATAAGTATTACACATGCATTTGATGTTACCGCTTTCACAAAATTGTGTTTTTGTAGTTTACAGTCGGTATCCTTTTCAATAACATGCACTTTGAACCCAGTTTTCAAAACTTTAAAGGGATAGTTCACCCAAAAATGAAAATTCTGTCATCATTACCTGAGTTTTTACAAACCTGTATCTTTGTTCTGCTGAATTTGAAGGAAGATATTTTGAAGAGTGTTTGTAACCAAACAGTTTTCAGGCACCATTAACTTCCATAGTAGAAAAAAAAATACTACGGAAGTGAATGGTGCCCGGTTACTGACAAGTTTTCTTGGATACAAACATTCTTAAATATATCTTTTTTTTTTTCATCAGAAGAAATTAATGCAGGTTTTAGGGCTGCACAATTAATAGAAAATGAAATCGCAAAGGCAATAAATCGCAATTAGGCAGAAGCTGCGATTGTCATGCGTATCTTATCAGCAGTAAATCTCCATCCGAAGGCCAGAGGGCGCTCTCGAGCTGAAACTCCAAATACGCCTCGCAGAAGAAATTCAGGAAATGCCTATCGCTGCAGCTGAATAAACAGAAGATTTAAC